AGATGGTTCAGATCTTGTCTTGCAAAATACGTGGATTCGATGTAATAACATGGTTATTTCAAGTTTAACAAACGTGGTTTTTAAGTTGATTGTAAGCAGCATCATGTAATACCAGAAAGTTAAACATATTTTGAATTGTGTGAGTAGTTTAGAATAAAAACAGGTGCAACATTTGAAATATATGATGCACTTTCAAACTATGATAAGGCCTGTAATACTCTTTCAAACTTTCCTGTAGGCTATGTCAAGGAAAAATTCTGAGAATAGGGGGAAGCGAAAGTATGTTGCCTTAAACGGTACGGTGAGCACTCCGAATCACCATTTCCGAAATAGAGGATTGTCCGACGATCCTCTTATYGGTGAGATAGAGACTTTTCGGAAGTTGCATTATAGAGAAAAAGATGGTTGGGTCAATGACTATTCTCGCACTTCATATGTAAGTTACGTTTAACGAACTCTTTTGCATGTCTTCATCGTTTTATAAATCAATAAGATTTATATATATGATTTTTATGTTCATAGGAGAACATGGTAGAGATTAAGCGGTAAAGTGAATCAATTGAAAATCCCCCGGGTGATCTAGAGATTATGCAACAAGTCTTAGGTAAAAGACCTGCATATATTCGGGGATGGTCGAGGGTCCCGAGCACTAGGAGTGATTCCACAAGTTCGCGACATAGCACCGGTGCATCAGGTCGATTAAGCCACAGCGAGATGTCTAATAGACTTGCTTCAACCGAGTCCGAGCTTGCTTCTACCAAATCCGAGCTTGCTTCTACGAAATCCGAGCTCTTTCTTATGAAAGATGAAGTCGCGGAGTTGCGACAAATGGTGAGGTCTATTATATCCGGCCGGTCAGTTCCAAGTTCATCTTCATTAACTGTTCAAGACYAAYGTTCGGAGACTCAAGATCGTTAAACATGCTTTGATTATTTTGGATGTTTTTTGTTGATAAATTTAGACGATATATAAGCTAGTTGAATATTAAATTTGAATGGTTCTTATAATAAGAAATTATATGACAAATCTATAAAAAATTGTTTTGAGGTTTATTATTTATTTGTTTCGATTAATTTAATATTATTTATTAGTTTAATTTTATTATTATAATATAT